ACTGGCTGTGTGCTTCCCGGTCCTCTGTGGTTTTATTGTCTCTTTTCACGCCAATCACTGCAACAAGACACGGGTGTTTGTCATTTTGCACTTGAACCATTTAAACCACTCGTCTCTATGAGGTGTGATTTGTGATTTACTTTGCAAACTGAGCAATCATCGTGTTGATCGTTGCGTACCTTGCCTTGACCAATCACGTGTGATAAGAATCATGACACTTTCATCGCCCCCCTTCTCGCCTCTACATGTGCATTGTGGCAAAATAATTATTTGAAAATCTTAGCCTAATAAAACTTTATAAATAAACACAAAATATTTGTTAAAAATTATGAAAGGAAATGTTTTTATTTAACTATTGTTTAACATTTTAATTGATTATTTTATTAGGCTATATCAATATCAACCGCTCACCCTCCGACTACTTTAAGTCTGTCCCGACTATTTAAGCTTTCTGGGGCACAGAGCAGAAAAAGGTAAAGGAAAAATAATAAGCTTAACCTATTATTATTATTACTTTTAAGTCTTTAAATTGATCAACATTTAATAATGGTTAACTCTGGTTCAACTTTGCATTTCAGCGCTCGACATTTACGCTTGTTTGCTTGTCCGGGAGAAGTGTTTTTTTCTTGTTTTGGAAGGGGCAAGTGAAAGAGAATTTTACTTCAGTTTTTGCCGAAGCTCTGTATATTTCTATGGCATCGCTGTCAAAGAGTAATTAACTGTAATTAACTGTAGTCATTTACTTATTGTTAACGGAAGCTTATCATGAGCTTTGTAATGTTTGAAGTGGATGTCATAACAAATGTCGGCCCAGGAAGATTTCACTCAAAAATCCATAAGATCTTACATTCATGCTCTGGAAATCCAAACCGGAAGACACATCGAGCGCAGCGCTGAAAAGGGGCGGGGCTTCACAAGTTTACCTCTTATGAACAAGGGGGTAATCCATCCGCCGGAAACTGAAGCTTCCTCTGGGAGCCGCCATTGTAGCAGACTATCACCTGCTGTTAGCATCCCATTGACTCCCATTCATTTTGGCGTCACTTTGACAGCGAATAACTTTACATCTGAGGCGGAAGCCTGCAGAACCATAGGCCGTGCCACATTAGATGGCACTTTAGGCACATAGCCTGGCATGGGATGCAAGTTTAAAGACTCCATTTGTCCATTATTTATTTCTAAAGAAACACAACAATGTATAAAAGGCTCCATTACTTTGTATCTTATGTTATGACCCCATAGAAGCCGTTTTTGTAAAAATAGGCTAACGATTGCATCATAACACGCGACTCTCTGTCGCACACAAGAGAAATTACCGTAAGTAGAAGCTCGCAGGCAATCGGGGGGACGTGGAGGCATAAAGTCAAGGGAGAAGCCCATAGAGAGTCATAAAGTTGCTGCTCATGGACAGCTCCTACTCACGATCTCCGGCTCTGCAAGATTCGTAAGGGAATGATTCAGATTCCTCTTGGCACAGCTACTAGAAGACGTACAACTGTCAGACAGGTTACTCACGTCACATCTACGTCGTCCAGCTCAGTTTGAGCCTGCGCAGTTCGCTTGGCTATCAGGAAGTGAGTGCTTCTATTGGCCTTCAATTCTCTCCGTTGAAATCAATGGGGTCGCAGTCTTTTACTGTCTATGCTTATGAACAGTGATTTTACTGATAATAAACCTATACATAAAATACATTTACAACACAGTAAAATAAATGATGAACACATGATAAAGGTCTCTAAATAAGTTCTAATATGACCTAAATTTAGCAAATAGACAAAATCCACATCCTTAGATTTAGTCCTTACATATTTTTACCTTGTGTTTTTAAAGCACATGCAGTGAACAAACAAGGTTCACAACACAACGGAAATGCAACTTGGTTTTATTTTGTACACTTATAGGCAATGTAGTCAATATAGTCAATGTTTTTGATTTATTGTCAGTAAAAAAAAAAAAAAAATCCTGGTTCTCTTGCTCAACACTGCCCTCTTGTGGTCAGGAGGCGTTTCCTTTGTAATGTGGATTCATTTTTTTGTTTCAATAGAAATAAACAAACTCCAAAAGCATTGAACATCAGCAGGAAACATGAAAACATTATTTCTGGTCACATATTTCTGATTCTAGGATATATTATGAAAATGAAAATCTCACATGCATAATTGGTTATATATTACTTGCCCCTAAACAGCACATACATTTATGTATACATCAATATCAAGCTCTCAGTCGCACTGTTGGCCTGAATATCAGCACATATGCATAATTATAACCATATTTATAAGCTTTATACATTAACATAGAGGAAGACATATTGTGTTACTTTATATTTTCATGTAACATATCAGTGTTTGTGTTGAGTCTTGAGGTTGTTCAAAATCCATATCTTGAAGATTTTGTAGGTCTGTACTTTGAAATTGTTTCAAGTCGTCTCCGTTTCTTGCATGAACAAACATCTTTAATAGTCCTTAAAAGTGAAATAAGATTTAACATTAAATGAGTAGTTCAGACAAAAACATTATTTATTCACTCACATTTCATGGTTTTGTTCTTTCTGTAACATAACAATTGTAGTCACTATAAAGAGCTTTAACTGCAAGAGCTGTTATTTAAAAAATGTACAATAGCATACTGATATTATAGTGATAATTCAAGAGCACAATGTCCACGTTTGGAGACAAACATGTATAATTTCACCAAAGAGCTCACCTATGATCACTATGATCAGAACAGCGTTCACCAGAGCAGATATGAAGATAATAATCTGCCAATGTGTCTGATTCCTCTCAATGTTCTTCACCGCTGTATGATTCTGGATCTCTGGAGTTGGAGTTGGTACTGTGTATTCATTGAAGGGGTTTAATATTAATATTTCATATGTATTTGTCTAACAGTGATTAAGTGTTTAGCTTGATGATCACTGAATGTTCACTCACCGCTGATGTGTATTCTGGTGCCGTCGCTGTATTTTGGAGGAGCGTCTTTGGTCTCACAGTAATAAAGTCCTAAATCATCAATAGTGACATTATTTATGAACAGGCGATGATTACTTTGCACTGAATATTTCTGCCTAAAAGCTTTACTGTAGTAAAAAGGAGCTGAAGCTGTGGAAGAGAGTAATATGACAACCGGAGAATCTGGAAGTTTCAGTAATAACCAGTTAACCTCCTTTACACCAAAATCACAGTTTATAGACACATTTTGACCCAAATCTGTTAGTTGATCAGTTAAAGTCTCCGCAGCTTCACACCATATGAGCAGATCTGTGAAATAAACACACACACACACACACACACTAAAAATGGATTATTGTGTCATTAAACATTATAAATCAACTTATAAAGAACAATCATATATTGATAAAGTACATTAACTCACAGAGGCGAAGCTGCACAATCTTCATGATGTTAACACACTTGTTTCTTTCACACGACTGTAGAGATGTAACTTTACCTCAGAGCTGTCAGACGGATAGTGTGATTTAACCACAGTCAAGAGGAAGTTAAAGGCAGGTTTGCTCTGGCCACACGTTTAGTTCTGGTGTCTATTTGTTCAAAACTCAAACCTTGACCTATACATCATTTCTTGTCTTTAAAAATATATATTTATCTCTAATTCACTGCAGCAAAAGGACCCAAGACACTGAGAACAGCCCAGTTTTCTTTTTTTCAGTGTCATTCAAACACAAATATGATGTTTTCTTCATCTATTCTCGTTCTTTGATTATTAACTCATAAGTTTAGATTAGGTTTTAAGTTTCTGTCTCTTAATATTACAACCATAAACAATATTTATCCTCGAGGCAAGTCAGTACTCTATGTATTTTAATTAATCTGGATTGAATTTCCTTTTGCCTAGTACTTCTTTTTAACTAGAAAATATTAAGAAGTGTGAAACTTATTTCTAACATTTGTTATACAATTTATTCATCTTATGATGTTTCCTAACAAAGTTCGGGAGGAGCATGTTCAGATAATTAAACACATGTGGAGCACATTCAGGTAATCAAGCCTAATTAGACACGAGTGGAGCACACTCCCAATCAATGAGGTAAGAGGTATATATTCAGCAAACTTAACTCAGTTCTTTGACAGTCTAACAGCATCCCTCCACCACCCCATCTCCTCACTTCTTCTCCTAAATACTCTTACAACAAGGGGGAGCACTCTGGGTTCGGGCAAAAATTTCCGAGCTCGGAGCCCTCCCCCTGGACAGCACGCCAAATACGCATAATCTTTACTCTGTTTAATTGATGTAAATGTGAACTCGTGAATGTTAATGTTAGTTAATACAAATTCAGCTGTTCATTGTTGGTTCATGTTCGCTCAGGTTCATTAAATAATATTAACAGATACAGCTTGTGTTTTTAATAATGTACTTCATTAAATTTCAATTAAAAATTAAATTAGCATGAACTAAAATAATAACTGCGGTAGAAGTATTTCTTTTTTTATTTTGTTGTTAGTTCATGATGGTTAAGTTTAACAAATGGATCATAATTGTAAAGTGTTTTCATGGTGTTTCATGTCATGTTCACTTGGTTAAAGTTTAAACTGCTTGATGCATGCGAGTGTGTGTGATCGTGTTGTTCATCAAGTGACCAAACCAGTGGAACACTTCATTTGCACGAAACCATGCTTGTGTTAACCACAAAACAGAGAGCAGAAGATGTTTTTAAATATGTGAAAAAAATATTTAAAAATATTAATATGCATGCCAGAATATAACTTTAGATTTATTGACATGTGTTCAAGCTTAGTCAAATCTCTGTAAAAAATAAACTAGCAGAAAATGTCATGATTTCAAAAAATTGTTTAATGTGAAGTGTGATTTAATATCAGGAATAACTACATTTTTACTGATAAAAAGCTGCTTCAGCCCCAAAAAAGCTCATTTTGAGGTTTACAACTTTTACTGCTGAGCATGTCAGCGCACTTATAATAGAGAGAGAACAATGATTATATTATTATATATAAGGAAGATCTCCACTTAAAACACCAGCAAAAAGTGTTACTATCATACACACTGCATATTTACATACAAATCAGCAAACTCATAAATGAAAATGGAAATTAAAATCCACACATTTAAAATATAATAACAGTCAATTTTAGTTTGTAAAAAAAAAAAAAACATATGTAGGTACACTTTATATTCATAACACGTATCACATCGTACATTGGCTGTAGACAGTAGTGCTCTGCTCCTGACTAGGCCTGGTGTTTCTGGAGCTCATGAAGAAATCAACTTCAGCACACTGAAAGAGGACCATATTATATATGAATGGACATATACAGTATATTAGACATAATGTACAGTCAGCTGGTCATAAACATTTCAGATCATTTAATGAATCTTGTGTATGCAGCTTGAAGTTGCACTGTAAGAATCACCGGGATAATAGAGGACAAAATAAGATAACATATATTAATATTGAAGATGCATCTTACCTGTGGATTATTTGAGTTTTGAGCAGCAGATTTTCCAGTTGCATCAATGAATCTCTTCACCAAACCTGAAACACACTGGATATCTGAGAGGTGTCTCGAGAGATGCGTTTTTTAAAAGTTAAACTTTTTTAGCATTTTCAGAGCGGCATGTCTCACACGAGACGCTGCAAAAGAAGACAGACGTGAGCGCAACAGTTAAATTAGTGTAGTGTGTGTTTACATTAAAAAACAATGCAAAAGTATCGCAGTGGAATAGAAAAACACATTCTGTGTGAACCGGCTACATTTGTGTAGATCTAGAGTTTGTCTTCTTAGTTCACTGACACTTTTACTGTAGTAAAACAAGAACAAACCTATTAATGCAATGATCAGAAGCACATTCAGCAGGACAGATATGATGATGGTCATATTTCTCCATGGTATCTGGTGTTGTGGAGCGTCATCTGTCTGATTCCTGTGGACCGAGTCTGTAATATTATTATGGACAAAGTCTGTAAAATGTTTGAAGTTTAATCTTTCAATTTCAGTCTTTAACAGAACAATAAAACTATTATTAGATCTTCATACAGTATTTTCAAGGAATCCATGTGGTTTATAAAGACATGAAATGATAAAATAACTCACCGCTGATGTAGATTTTGGTGCCGTTGTTGAATTTTAGTGGTTCACTAGTTTTCACACAATAATAAACTCCTAATTCATCAATGGTGATATTCTTGATGAACAGACGACTGTTAGTTTTCGCTGAGTATTTGTGAATAAAGATGCTGTTTTCATATTTACCTCCTTCAGTTGTGCTGCTGAAAGTGCGTAAGATCAACACTGGAGGATCCGGTAATTTCAGTTTGTACCAGTAAATCTCCTCTATATCAAGATCACAGGTTATAATCACATCAGATCCTAAAGTTACTGCTGTGTTTGTTAGACTCTCTGTGGCTTGATACAACATGAACAGATCTATGACAGAAATAAAAACACATTTATTAAGATATAAAATCAAAATAAAACTGACTCAATCAAATGTGACATGAGAAACTCACAGATCTGCAGCTGTATGATCTTCATGATCTGATCCAGATGAATAATATCTGCTATAGTGATCATTCACACATCTCGTACTGTGAGGAAACACAAACCTCGACCACACAGACGAGAGGGGAAGTCAGAGCTGGGCTTCTCTGAAAGCATCATCAATCTTAGATGTTTAAATCAACAAGTAATTAGAAGATATAGTTTGTGTTAATATGCCAGTGTTTTTTACTTGAATACACAGATGTGTGCATTTTGATTTCCTCATAAAAAAACACATAATCATATTCAATTTTATTTATTTCTTTTTTTTGCTACCAGCACCAGGTGACATCAGATTGAACTTTGACTAAAATGCCATTGTAAAGACTCATGCTCAAAGAAAACATCTGATGATATCTTGATGAACAGAGGAAACCAAAGCCATCAATGTGCAATGTGTGTGTTCAGATGTTTAGTGGTAAAACATGCAGTGTTTAAGAAACACTATCATACAGGCTAGAGCACCTTCCACGAGAAGGCTCTATGCTTCTAAATGGTCTGTGTTCTCAAAATGGTGCACCAACAAACATCTGGACCCAAGGTCATGCGAGGTGCCGTCTTTGCTTGTTTTCCTTCAAGAGATGCTGGACAAGGGCAGGTCCCCCTCCACTCTCAAGGTTTACGTGGCAGCCGTCGCGGCGTTCTCTGAACCCCGACGCGCTCAGTCCCTGGGCAAAGACGAGTTAGTCATCCGCTTCCTCAGGGGAGCTAAGAGGATGAACCCTCCGCGCCCCCCTTCGGTTCCTATCTGGGATCTTTCTATAGTTCTCGAAGCTATGAAAGCACCCCCGTTCGAACCGCTCGAGTCTGTGGACCTAAAATACCTCTCGCTCAAAACCGTTTTTCTGACGGCTCTGTCCTCAGTAAAACGCGTGGGGGATCTTCACGCGCTCTCATCCAGCGCCGCGTGTCTCGAGTTTGGTCCGAATGATTCTGTTGTCATTCTCAAACCTAGACATGGCTATGTCCCGAAGGCGATTGGTACCCCGTTCAGGGCTCAGATTATTTCCCTATCGGCTCTGCCTTCATCCGATAGTGAGCGCGACGCCAATCTCCTCTGCCCGGTGCGGGCTCTGAGATTGTACACTACGCGCGCTGCCGCTTTCAGACGCGCTGAGCAGCTTTTCGTGTCGTTTGGGGGGCGCACCAAAGGTCTGGCCGCCTCTAAACAGACACTGTCTAGATGGATAGTAGACGCTATCGCCTCTGCTTACGCATCTAAATGCCTGCCCTGCCCTCTGGGCATCAGGGCGCACTCCACTAGAGGCATGGCCTCATCGTGGGCATGGTCCTGTGGAATTTCCATTCATGACATTTGTGTGGCCGCGGGATGGGCCTCCCCGTCCACTTTTGTCAGATTTTACAACTTGGAAGTTCCCGCCTTGCAGGCAAAATTACTAGCTGTCTAACGACCAGCTCCCTAAGAAGCTGCATTACTGGGAGTCCCTCACACAACCGGTTCGCCCCTTGTGCTCTCCTTAAATGCTTATACACTTCATGTGCCCGCTCTGCCGGCCTCATAATACATTCACTCCACGTTAAAAATCCCCCGGTATCACCCTGGGATTCATAAGTGGATTCATAGCGCGCACGGCGTTGACCAGGTGTTCCCGCAGCGTAAGCTAGCTTACGCAATACGAGAGAACCTCTCGTAAGAGAACGAATCGGTTACCTAACGTAACCTCGGTTCTCTCTAGAAGAGGGAACGAGTATTGCGTTCCCGGCCGTGCTTGCGCTACTAGCGTTTCGCTTCACGCTGAAATAAATCAACATATAAGCCTGGGAGAGACTGTTATATACACCATAGCCACGCCCATTCTGGCGGGCCATGACGCAATGAGCGCGCGGGCGCCTCTCAATGGAAGCGGGTTCAGCCCCGCTCTCCCATAGGCTTAAGCAGTTCTCTCTGAGCGAACCAATGAGCTGCTAGCTAGCCTGCTCTAGGTCTGCCGCAGAGGAACTGCGTTGTCAATGGATACAAATTATGAAATAATTTTTTGGCTTCAATATCTCAGCAAAGATGAATCTTTCCCGCAGCGTAAGCTAGCTTACGCAATACTCGTTCCCTCTTCTAGAGAGAACCGAGGTTACGTTAGGTAACCGATTCGTTTTTTGTTATACTCTGAGATTTGTGTAAATTCTGGGGGCTGAGTGTAACTGGTACAGAGAGAGTACTGTTAAATGTATGTATTGTTTACATAACATGGTGGTGTATATAAGCAAGATCTCCACTTAAATCAGTGCCAGCAAAATGTGTTATATACTGCATATTTACATACAAAGCTGCAAACGGAAATTATATATGGGAATTATAAATGGAAGTTAAAATTCACACATATAAAACATAATAATACATTTTAGTTTGTAAAAAAAAAAAAAGCATATGTAGGTACACTTTATATTCATAATGTGCATCACATCGTACATTGGCTGTAGACAGTAGTGCTCTGCTCCTGACTAGGCCTGGTGTTTCTGGAGCTCATGAAGAAATCAACTTCAGCACACTGAAAGAGGACCATATTATATATGAATGACCATATATAGTATGTTAGACATAATGAACTAGGAATGTACTTTTCTAGGACACACGTTTATGATACTTGTGGATGCATACTCGAAGTGGGAGGGGTTTAGAATGCCTAACCTTACCTCACAAGCTACCATCGCAAGACTAAGGAGGTTGTTTGTGGCATATGGACTTCCGGAGCAAATTGTCACAGACAATGGAACACAATTTACGTCTGAGGAGTTCAAAAACTTCATGCAGCTAAATGGCATTCTTTATTCAACGAGTGCGCCAGGTCATCCAGCTACCAACGGCCTTGCAGAAAGGTATGTGCAGACATTTAAAAACAGAATAAAGAAACTTGCACACTTAACAATGGACTTGGAAGATAAGATCTCTCTTTTCCTAATGCAGTAACGCACTACTCCAAACTGCACTACAGGCCAATCGCCAGCAGATTTTTTTCTTAATAGACATGTGCGCACTCGCCTGGACTTGGTTCATCCAGATGTCACTGCCGCGGTTCGCAGTAAGCAATACCTGCAAAAGTCCTATCATGACCAACATGCTGTGGAGAGGTCTTTTTCTGCAAAGGATGCAGTGTACCTCCGTAACACCACAGGGAACAAATGGATTCCACGTGTGATAGTAAAGCAAACCGGGCCAGTGTCTTACAAGGTTCAGGGACGAGACACAGATGTCACTTTCAGAAGACATGGTGACCAGTTGAGATCTCGGGTTGTAGAGGATGAGCTTGTTAGAGAGACTGTTCAGGGACTGACACGCCGATTCAACCCTGTACACCAGAGGAGGAAAAACAAGCAGTTCCAAGCAGTCCACGCCGCTCATCCAGAAGTAGAAAACCACCAAAACGTTTTGACCTGTAATACATGAAACATACACCCATTGCAATAGCACTACGGTATAGGACTGTTGTGGTCTTATATATAAATACAATGCTTATTTTGTTCTTTTATGTTGTCGTTTGAAGAAAAAAAAGTAATTGTTATGTTTTTGGTAAAGCCAATAATGTTTCGTGCCATGTGCGGGTTTCAGGTTGAATCTAAATGTACCTTTGTTTAAAAGGGGGGGTAATGTGATGTATTGTATGCTAGCAAGTTTTGCATTTGAGACAGTAGAGATTCCGTAGCTAAAGTGCTGGGAATGTTGGGAAATGTTCGGGGGCGCGCTGATGAGCAGATTAAAAAATATAGGGTAAAGTTGTGGTCCAAAGACATACATTCCGTCTCACCTGAATTCTTTTGAATAGATACATCACACAGTGCATAGGGGCGCTGGCGCCATTGTTGCAAAATAATTCTTTGAAAATCTCCTTTAGCCTAATAAAACTTTATAAATAAACAAAAAATATTTGAATGTATATATATTAATATGTATGTATTAATATATATATATATATATATATATATATATATATATATATATATATATGTATGTGTGTGTGTGTGTGTGTGTGTGTGTGTGTGTGTGTGTTACAATAATGAGAATTTGTAGAAATGAAAATAATCCTTTCATTTCTTTTTACTAAAGCAATTGTCTTTGTCCGCCATAAAAAAATAAAAAACAAGGAGCTCAATCAAGACCACTGAACATTGTAACTTTAGCGCATGTGCTTTATGTTAAAAAGCAATTTGTCAGCATATGATCTACATTAACTTCTAGTGCGTTCCCTTTCGAGGGAACTCGCGATGCGTCACTTGACGCTTTGGGAACGCCCCCAGCGTGCATGCGTCTGAGCATCAATGTCAACTAGTCCAATGGAAAGAATGAGCGTCACGGGCGGGTGACGTCATGACCAGGAAGGGATAAAGGCTCACCCGGTGAAACGCGACATTAGCTTCTGCGTTTCAGCAAGCGATCTGTGTCATTTTGTCTCTGTCTATTTACTGTTGTCTGATGCGGAAAAGGATGGAAACTAAACAAGTGTACAAACAGTGTGCTTCTCCCTGCCCGCGTTATTTAACGGGTGGGGATACACACGAGCTTTGTGTCGTTTGTTTGGGAGTGGAGCATGCGGTCTCAGCCTTCGAGGGGGCTGAGTGCCAGCATTGTTAGATGTTACCGCTTCGCATGCTCCGCTCTCGCCTGTCACTCTTTGATAAAGAGAGTGGGCAGGCTTGCGATCCACAGGGATCAGGACCCGCGTCTGCTGAGGCAGCGCGGAGAATGCATTCCTGGGGATCGCAAAAGGATCTTTCGGAGGGGTTGAAGACGGGTCCGAGGGCTCTTTCTCCTTCCTTACCCGAGAGATCCAGTGCTCTCTCCCCGGTGTCGGAAGCACGCTCTGCGGTTTCTTCTGCCCGGGGAGAGAGCCCTCCATTACTTTATTGCTCTTCCTCCGAGGAGGTTGATGCGATGAGTGTGGAGAGTGTAAGCACACACATGGGGGAAAGAGATTCACAATTTATTTCCCCAGCATATGATGAGCTGGTGGATGTTATGTCGCGGGCTGTAGAGAAATTAAATATTGAATGGCCATCTGAGAAGAAGGGCGCTCGTCCTAAAAGCAAATTAGATGAGCGCTTTTTATCTTCCACCACATTATCTCCACCACGAGGGCTTCCATTTTTTCCTGATTTGCACAATGAAATTTCTAA